CGCCTGCCGGCTTGGTATGGCGATTATCCGATATCGCGGGTGACCGGTGCGACGTCGCGACGCCTCCCGACGCCGCGTGCAGCTTGCGACACGCGGTCGAACGCGGTCGCGACGATCACGTTCCGTATATCGTGTACGTGCGCATCCCGGATCTGCACAGTGTGTTACATCGTGTATGCGTGTGCGTATGTGTGTTTCGTGTGTGTGTTGTGTGTGTATGTGTGTATGCGCGGTATGCGGCTCACGCATACGCGTCGCGCGCAAGTTACAAGGGCATACTGAACAAGACTAGATGCACATATGACGAAACGGAGTTCCACGCGCCGTGGAACGCGCAGAAGAACCGAGGAGAACGTGACTCGCTCACCGTCTCCGGCTTAACAGCTAAGGGAAAGATTCGGGGCTTCCTGGAGTGTCGCGCGAACGGACGCGGTATACCGATCCCCACGCGGGCGTAAAGGCTACTTTAGTCCTCCTCTCTTCGGTTGTTCTTTTCCTTAAGTACGTCATCTGCCGTCCCGATTTACAGAGAGTCGATCGCATTCTCGAATTTTTCAAACCGTTCGCGGCAAATGATCCTCCGCGAAAGACGATTAGACGAGATAGACTAGTTGGAATGAATTTCTCCAATATCCTGCGCACGACGATGATACGCGTGACCCGATCGATCGCATGATTTGTACCAACGCATCATTTTTTTCCCAATTCTCAGATGGTCGTTGACTTGGGGCCAGTTTCACAAACATTGGTCGACTGCTAACTAGAGTTCAGTCGACTCTCTATCTTTTTTCATCTTATTATTTAAAAAGAAACAGAGGATTAATTAACCTTCGGTTAGCAGTTGACCGATGTTTGTGAAACTGGCCCTTAGAGAGCCTGGACAGTTCAGGAAAAAGGATACTACTACGTTTGTCGTGCGTCAAATTGCTTTAAGTGTGTTGGTTAGCTAGATAGAAAATTTCTAGATACTCGAGAGCCTTGCTGTCCTGCACACCCAGAAAAAAAGCTTCTTTGAAACAAACTGAATTTTGACCTTACTAGACTTCTACTTAATTTCAAAGAAATTATTTTTTTTCACCTTAATCAAAATTTTATTTTACTGACAATGAGACTGGAATTTCTAAGAGAATTCCCGCCTGTTTCTTCTTCAAATCTAGCACATGTTTTATCAGAGGTAAAGAAAAATTAACAGATTCAAAGAAACGTGATTCCAACGTATCTCATTTGTTTAACCTAAGTAAATCTTTCTTTCTGGGTGTGGAACAGTCGATGTGCTCGAGAAATTTGTCGACAAACGTAATACCAGGCTAATCCGGATTGATCGGCACGCGTTAGGCGATCGCAGGGCCGGTTCCTCGCGTAACAGTCGTGACACCCGCGAGCGTACGCCGCGTCCGTTCTTCTCGCCCGTGCCTGACGACCCTTGGACAGGCTCGATACGCACGATCGCTCCCAAACACTAATCTATTTGTACAGACTCGGTAGCGCTGGTTTCCTCTCCAAAAAGCTGGGTTAAAACCGAGGCTACTTCGGTACCGTCCGACCGACCCGTTTTTTTTTTATATTTTCGGGCGAAGCGACGTCGAGGCACACGTCGGAGAAAAATATCGAATGCTCTTAGAGGAAATATCGAACAATGTTGTGTAATCGCGATGCACGCGGGGCGAGGCGCACTCTCTAAAAGTCAATCAGTGCGTTATAACTGCGAATCAGGGATTTCACTGATTCGCTGATTAACTTTTGGAGACTACGATCGTAGCGAACGCGTCTTCTCGCGCCGATAATTGTCGGCGCAATATAAATATTCGAATGCGCTTCTCTTCATTCCGAATGATCCTTCGATCGATCGGTTCAAAATACGTATATGGAAGATACAGAAACAATCTGTACATATTTTTACAATTTTAACAATTAGAAAAATTTTACATGTACACTCGGCACAAAGAACCGCGCCCCCCTTTGTATTTACACGTATCGTTTCACCCCGATCACAATTAGAAAAATACTTTAATTCGAATCCTTCGACTTTGGACGTCGGGACTCGATCTTTTCGCACGTAGACAAGTGTATCGTACACGATCTTTTCGTATTTAGACAAGTATATCGTAAAACATTTAAAAGCGTGTAATTTTAATTTAGAGAAAGATTACGCGAGACGTACGCTACTTAATAAATGAAGCTCTTGCGGTCGTCGATCGATTCTGTTCGTCTGGAACGTTAAAACACACGCGTCATCATAACAGACTGCCCTTAATGCACGTTTCCTGCGCGGACTATAGTACAGCACCGTAATGTATTCCTTAGAATTAATTAATTAATTAATTTGTCAATATCTCACATATGCACCAAAGTGTAGAAGTTTCCAAAACTAGCGGAATGCTCGGAGTCTCTCTCGCGAAAGTGCATTCGGTAAAAGGCAAACGTGATCTCCCGAGTTTGATTGCGCTTATCACATGTAAGTCGGCCGTGCGGTTCCTTCCCGGCGCGATCAGCGCGCCGAGAGAGGATGCCGGGAGTCTCCCGTTTTGATTGATCCGCAAAAAGAATTACACAATCCTCTCCCTCGCTCGCGTCGAGAGAAGAGCCCGGCAACAAACGCGGGGGACCGTCGATGTTCGACGAGCGTAACGATCCTCGGCTCCAACTTTTGGCGCCGAGGCGTCTGTTTAAACTTTACTTCGAGCGCCGCGACTCGAGAGCGCGGATAAAAAAACCACCTCGCGCGTATTCGGGGGTGTATCTGTGTCAAGGGAACAATTTACGAAACTCGATTTGTGTCGCCTGCAAAGCGAACGCCCCCTCCACGTATCGACGCCGTGTACAAGCATCCAAAATCGAGTGCGCGCGAGTCCGATGGGATGCGCGACGGGAAAGAAAGAAGACGCCTCGCGCCTCTCCACGATCCAAGCGACGCAGGGGTACTATCAGGGTTGGGAAGTTACTTTATGAAAGTATCTAGTTACAATTACAATTTTTTTTTCGCAAAAATGTAACCACTTACAGTTACCAATTCTAACAAGTAATGCGTTAAGGACCGTCTACATTGGAAGTTAGTAAAAAAGTAAGAAAATCCAACCTGTACCTTTCAGTATAAAAGCTAAAGTACATGCATACTTTTTTTTAAATACTTGTAGCACTGGTCGAACTGCGCTCAAATTCGCCGAGAGGACGCGCCAGAGCTGAAGTAGGAGTAAGAAATGGGAATGATTCATTTCTTTACTCCGGCTTTTACTTCTTGCGCCAGGCTTACTTCATCTATCGTAGACGATCCTTTACAGTTACAGTTACTCAAAAAGTAACGAATCGTTACTTTGCAGTTACTTTCTTGCGAAGGAAAATTAAAGTATCAAATCTGCGTTTGAATTGTTGAGTGTCGATAAAAGCGTTTGTGTGCAAATGCAAGACCTGATGCGATCTGTGGAGGTTTAAAAAATATATCAAGTAACTATTAATGTAACTAAGTTAAGTTACAGTTACAGATGGAGAGAAAGTAACGAGTTACTTCACAACCCTGGGTACTATTACTTTTGTCGTATGATAAATTTTTCAAGCGTGTTGATTGGCTGCGAGCAAGAAAATTTCTAGATACTCGAAAACTTGCCTATCCTGCACGACAAATGTAACACCAGCCTTAGATCGTAGACCGCGAAAAGGGTTTACGCACAGATTTAGGCCGCGGTCCGATTCGCTTTTATAGCGCTGCAAGCACCGTTCTATCTTCGTCTAACATTTGATGTGCAACGAAGACAGATTCCCAGATAGCCAAATCTGTCAGAACCGATTTTGTCAAATGCCACAAATTTTGAAGGCAGAAAGACTGCAGGTTGCATACAGGAACTGATATATCCGACATGTCGCCGGTATGTCGGCAGAAATACAACAAAATTATATAATGATCTGCTCGGTTCCTGCCGACAATCTGCCGACAGCGTGTGTTTCACAGATTCTGTTGCCAAAACAAAAGCCAAACGCGGACACAGACTGCTAACATTTTGCGAATTGAATCGACGCTCGCAGCGCCGCGAGTCGCGAGTCGGACGGCGGGCCTTACGGATTCGAGCGTCGTGAAAAAGAAAACGGGACGGGGCGAATCGCGTGCTCGACAGCAAAGGGAAAAGGGGTAGAGGGAACGAGAGCAGAGCCTCAGAGTTTTTCCCGGGTTAGCTTCGAATCTCCCGCCGGCTCTCTCGCGTTCTCCAAAATGGCCGCGGTACTCCCTCCCTCGTGCTACTTGGCGCGATCTCCCTCTCTCACTCTCGCTCTTTCACGCGTGCATACTCTTTCTCCTTGTCGCGCGCATTCTCTCTCTTTCTCTCTCTCTCATTCATACGACACCACGCATTCGCCCGTCGCCGAGCGTGCCCGTGCGTGTAAAAGTCTCTCGCATGCGCGCAACACGCACGCGCGCACGCCCGCCACTCTCCCAAAAGCATCCTTTACGTTTCACGCTGTACGAAGGCACTCCTTCCTCCTTCTCCGCCTCGGCCGCCAGACCGCCGCCACCACCACCTCCTCCTCCTCTTCCGCCTGCTCCGCCTGCTCGCTGTTCCCGTCGTCGTCGTGCGATCGTCTCCTCCCCGATCGCGTCACAAATGAACCGAGAGAGAAAACGGCGAACGGGCTGCCTTTCTCCGTCCTTCTTCGGGAACCGAGTCATCCTTTGCTGCCTCGAGGACCACCGTCGATTCCCGCACTCTCGGGAAATGAGGATATAATCGTGCCTCTCCTTGAGATCATCGATCGTAGAATACCGTGGAATCCACTCCGGAATTCGTTGAGCTCCGAGATAAGAGACGGGAACGTGCCCGAGCGGCGCGGGCTCGTGTCTGCCCAGCCAGAGATAGTCTTTCGATCGCGAGCGTATTAGGCGAGATCCGGCAAGTGGCGACAGAGTCTTCTTCTTCTTCTAAACAATATATAGTAACACGCCAATGTGGGTCACAAGGCAAGATGTAGGTAGCCCAACTTGCAAATCTTAAATCCTTCTGAAAATCGTGAATCTATATACCGTTTCTTTCCACATTAGTACTACGCGCCGATTTCTGTTCCGGACATAACTTCTTCCTCTTGTTATTGACACCTGGATCCTAGTCGGCTCCAACACGGCCACGTCTAACCAACTGTCGTTTAGGCGACAGAGTCGACTGTTGATTTTCGGCGCGGAAACTTAGCCGCGAGGGCAAGAAGACAGCGAGCGCGGTGGCGGCGAGACACCTGACGACGATTGAGGGGGGGGAGGGGGGCGCTTCAAAACTGATTGCCGACGGCCATGATGGGACAGCCGGCGTGCACGTGGTCCATGACCTGCTCCTTGAGCCGGCACACGTGCTCCTTGAGCTTGTGCACGATGCCGCTCAGCTCGGTGTTCTCGCCCTTGAGCAGCTTGACCTTGTCCTCGAGCCTGGAGATGCGCTCGAGCTTGCGCCGTCGGCACTTGGACGCGGCCACGCGGTTCCTCTGCCGCTTCCTCTCCAGCTTGATCTTCTCCTGGTTCTCCATGTCGATCGGCGACATCGGCGGCGTGCTCGACACGCTCGGCACCGTCTGCGGCTCGTCCTTGACGTGCACCAGGCCGGGGTTGCTCATGGTGGACTCGGTGCTCTGCACGCTGCCGGGCGGCTCCAGGGTCGTGTACGTGGCGCCGTGCATGCTGCCGGGTTCCTGCGAGCTGTCCGAGTGGTGGAGCTCGTTGAGCGCGTCGACGAAGCCCCTCGCGTACAACTCCTGGGCCTCGGTGACCGCCTTGGGGAACAGGATCTGGGTGGTAGGTGTGGGTAAACTGGTGACCAGGCCGTCCGACTGCGTCATGATGAGCTTCTCGAGCTCCGGCGACGCAAGCTTCAGCATGTTGAGATCCGGCGAGCTCAGGATTGGCGTGACGTTGTTGAGGGCCGGCGGCAGCGGGCCCAGCCGCGGCCTCTTGGCCTGCGGGCCCGGCCTCTGGCAGCCGTTGAGGTCCAGTGTGAGGTTCCGCTTGAGCTGGCCCACGCTGTTCTCGCGCCCGCCGTTCATCCCGCCGTAGACGCCCGCGTCCTCGTAGAACGTCTGCTCCATCGCCAGGCTGCGCACCATCGATGCCGCCGGGCTGGTTGACTCGCCTCGATTAGGAACACCGAGGTGTCACCCTCGACTCCCTCTGGTCTCCTCACCTCCGGACGGGAAAACGCTCGTTCCCCCTCCGGAACGCGTTAAGGACAACGACGGGCCTTTCGAGAGTTTCTCAACACGTCAACGTGTTCTGCGACGTTCCTTTTTCTCTCTCTCTCTCTTTCTCTCTCTCTCTCTTCCTTCCTCTCTGCCTACGTCAACGCGCAAACACTCCGCTCTGCGGCGCGGTGATTACATAACAGCCGCGCGCGCGGCTGTACGCGAAAATTCACTCGCGGCACGACCGCCGGTTCTCTCCGTGTTCCACGCCGCACCGTCACAGTCACTCGGCGTAGCTATCGCGCACCAACCACCGGCGCGGCGCCCGGGATACGAGCGGGAGTCGACGCACGTCCGGTGTCGCTACGTCGACGCGACGGGCGACCGGTCTCCGCGGTGGAGCGGCAACCTGCTCGCGTCCGTCCGCCCTGGTCTGCGCTAGGTCCGCCTCGCCTGCCGGCCTGTCTCGACTGTCAACACAACAATGACTCACGATGTGGTGCGCGTGTGCCGTCCTTCTGCTCCACGGAACGGAACGAGAACGTCAGCGCGACGGTAGGATCGCGACGTGTGTGTGCCTTGCGCGAACGCGGATCACCCTGTGCGCCACGGTGGCCCGACAACTTGTGAACACCCAACTAAACGTACTCGCTTATATCCCGTGAGTCACGCCGGCCGAAAATAGCGACGTCGTCACCGTGCGCGGCGCCGATTGGCCGGCGGTGACGCCATCCGGCGCGCCCGATTCGCCCGACGATCGGAGCTACTGGGAAACGACGGGCGCATGCGCGCCTCGCCGGCCGTCCGCCGACAGTGGGGGTGGCCTGCGAGGGGCGGACGACGGAGGACGGGGGGCGCCGAAACGCCGGTGACAGCGCGCGACGTTAAGGTGCGCCTCCATCTGACGGACATTTCGGAGCGGTCTGAGGACGCGAGCTGTCGCGCCTGTCGCCGAGTGTCGGGAGCGTCCGAGGATCGTCCCGGGACGGTCCACGGCGCGGCCGATTGCCGGCGGAACCGATCTCACGAGCCGGAGCGGTTTCTCTCTCGCGGCGCCGATCCGCGACATCGCTCGCACGAGTGAGAACGACGCTTTACGCTCGCCGTCCCGCTCCCACGCGACCGTCCGCGGATCCGCGGTCTCACTTTTACCGCGTTGCCCAGGCAAACGAGTTTCTGCGACTCTGCTGAAATTGGATAGTTTGGAAAAGTTCGTATTACGAAAACACATATGTGTCGGGCCTCGCGTATTTTCGACAAAAGCTGTGGAGAAAGTAGCGAAAGCTTCGTCTAGAAAACGCTAATGTAATAGAACAATCGATCAGGCTTCGGTATCGCAGTATCGTCGAACTTGAAAGATTTTGCCTTCGCGGAGAGAATTTTCTCTTAAAATTTACCCTGAAAGTCTTGCGATCGTGGGACAACGTGGCATTTTGAACAACTGTGCGAAAGTCTTTTTGAAATTTTACCATACATTGTACTAGTAAACTGGTGTAATTGTTAATAGAATGTATAGTAAAATTTCCAAGAACTTTCATGCACTTGTTGAAAACGCCATGTTGTCCCACGATTACAAGATTTTCAGGGTTATTAAGAGAAAATTCTCTCTTTGTGTACGTTTCTATGAAATGCTACAGATTAATCGTTGATACCCTAAAATTCCTTTCGGACAAAGCACATGCTTCGGTAACGAACCAAAGTTACCAATTGGCTATACCACATGTCACACCACATCGTTTACGCAAAAATATATCAGTACGTCCTAATCTCCTTCGTATTTTTCTCTTGCTGCGTACTGTCTATAATAGACCGTCTGCATCTTATGCAATTGTATCTGATTGCACTTAACATCTCTTAGGGCCAGTTTCACAAAGGTCGGTTAACTGCTAACTGACGGTTAACTGATCCTCTGTCTCTTCTTAGGGCTAGTTTCACAAGAGTCAGTTAACTGATAACCAGAGTTCAGCCAACTCCCTATCTTATTCTATCTTGTCCTCTAACAATAAGAAGAGACAGAGAATCAATTAACCTTCGGTTAGCAGCTAACCGACGTTTGTGAAACTGGCCCTTAGAGAACAAGATAGAAAAAGATAGGGAGTTGACTGAACCCTAGTTAACAAATAACCGATGTTTGTGAAACTGGCCCTTAGGACTGAAACGTTCGTCGTTATATTGTTCTCGGTCGACCGTGCGAGCTTCAGGTATCGACTTTAAGCTAAATCAACGCTTCGGGCCACTCGTTTGGTCACCAATTTTGTACACCGTTAAATTCTACTTACTACACGTGTCTCACACACACGAGATATTGGAGCGAGAATGCCTTTGCTAGAAAATTTTTTGAACGACACGCCTGAATTTTTCGAGATGCCTCAAGTCTCATTGTTCGAATAATATTTTTACGACTTACGGAAATCTCTGTAAGGCTTCTTTTAATTGCCAATCCGTTTTCAATGCACTAACTTTTTATAATTCATGAAAACTTTGGGAATTTTTCGAGACGCCTCAAGCTCGATTGTTCGATTAACATTTTTACGATTTATAGAAATATCTTTACAAGCAAGACTTCTTTTAATTGCCAATCAGTTTTCAATGCTCTAACTTTTTATAATTTATGAAAACTTTTGAATGTTTCGAGATGCCTCAAGCTCGACTGTTTGATTAACATTCTTACGATTTATAGAAATTTCTTTGCAAGTGAGACTTCTTTTAATTGCCAATCAGTTTTTAACGCTCTCGTTAACTTTTTATAATTCATGAAAACTTTTGAATTTTTCGAGATGCCTCAAGCTCGACTGTTCGATTAACATTCTTACGATTTATAGAAATTTCTTTGCAAGTAAAACTTGTTTTAATTGCCAATCAGTTTTTAACGCTATCTAGTGCTTCTTTTGTAATTGATGAAAACTTTTCAGACGCGTACTGGTTCTTTCTCGTCCGCATTTACTTCTCTCGCGACGACAGTAAATTCCATAAGAGCACCGCGCTCGTTCACCGATGTATTTTCGAACGAATTCGCGTTTCACTGCATTCCGGCCGCAATTTCCGTGCGCTTTCTCGGGAAAGCTCCTTTGATCGTTTCTCCCGAATCTTTTCCGGGAAAACCGCGCTACTCGCTGGGTCGTTATCCAATTCGGTTGTTTAGCGAAAAGCGAAAGAGGACGTAAACGTCGTGAAATTGAAGCTGCATTCCATATTCCAAAGTACGTCCCGATTGTACTTTGCAATATGGAATATCAGTTTGACGGCGTTTACGTCTCTTTCGCTCTTCTCCGAAAACAAACTTTTAATTCGAAATAAAAGGAAACTTTTAATTAAAAAACTGAAAACCTTCTAGCTTCTCTCACTTCCTCTCGCGATATACAATATTAGCAGCAGATCGTTTATTCCTACCGCCGAAAACAATCGGACTTCCGGACCGTTGCGATCGACGAGGCGATTAGGAATAAAGAGATCGAACCGTGCGACTTTCTTTCGCCACCAAAGTATACCGTATGCGTCGTTGGTTCAAGTATCGCGTAGGGATGAAGAAGCGAGAAGAGGCAGGCGTTTCCCGGTGACATTCGCGTGCGGTCTCGCGCCAAATTTAATTACGCGATTCTCGCTGGCGTCTCGCAAGATATAGGCGTGCGTGCTCTCGCGAAAGTAGAGACACGCGAGGGGATAATCGCGCGTTCCTCGGACAACGCGCCACGGCATAATTAATAAGGACGTCCGTCTCGGGTCTTGTGATTTTCCGGCGCACACGCAAGAAAATGCGAGCGCGATACCGTCCGATGTCCGGCGAAAAGGCACGTGGCGCGACCGATTAAACCCTGCACACAACCCGCGCAGGCATCTTTTCGTCGGAGTCTTCGTCGTGAAAAATCGAAACGCATCAATTATTCGCGTGCCTTAAAGTTTAATCGAGTTTCACAGTCGAGGCTTTTTCGTAAAGCGTCTTTACGTAAAAACATTTCAGCAGAGACTTGCCTTCTTTTTGTCAGTCTTCTCTCTTTCCTTTTTCTTCCTTTCCGGATTAGAGCCGAGAGCGAGCGTTGCATGGGCGAGGCGGAGCCAGCTGCTTTTTTCATCTCGAAATTAAACAAACATAATTAATTTCCGCCCCCGCGCCGCCGCGCTCGTTCGCGCTGCCGCGCGGAAGGTTAAATCCATTACATATACACATAACGCTATACTCGAGTGCACGGAGGCCAAGCCTTTTTATTTGCGCACGAAAGCTGCCGGCCGTTTCCGACGGCGATCAATCATTTCGCGCGAGCACGACGAAATAGTTTTACCTCGCGCTTAATTTCGAGACTCTTCCACGAAGTCTCTTCGTCGCGAGAGCATTAAAGCGTTCTCCGGAGAGTGAAGGAAATCAGATAACATACACAATTTTTAATCGGGAAGGGTGGGAGATAGAAACCTCTGGATATTAATTATACCGTTAACACTCTGGTTGTCAGGCCTATTTCTGAAGAGTTACGAAATAATGGCGACTTGAAATCTGCCGCTCAGTCCCCCGTGACGCGTACAGAATTATCGTATTTGAGAGACACACGAAGAAGGATCAAAAACAGATTTGTTCGTCTATCACGAGCATATTTCTATTATTTACGATAATAAAATGGAAAAAAAAATACTGTACGCACAATACATATACCTAATTGTCTATTGACAATGCCACAATAAAAATGCATCGGTAGAAATGGGGGGGGGGGGGAAATCGAAACGCTTGAAAGCGCAAAGAAATGAATACCGTAATCGTGAATTAATTATTGTAAGAGAGGACGAAGGGAAACAATTGACTCGCAATTTATGCGTCCTGGTCATGTTTATTAAAATAATTCTGGTGGCATACAAAAGAATATCAATTACAATACTGTAAAAGGAAGATATACGAGCCTGCGTTTGTTTTATATCAACGTTCAGAATAATAGCGACACGAAAGGCCAGCGGCACACGTGACGTACTAGCAAAAGAAATAATGTATATCTGGAATATGTCACTTCCGCGTAATTATTGCGACGGTCGAATCAACCGTGACACTTATCAATCAATGAATACTGTTGATTTTGAAATTCGATTCTCGAACTACTCCGACAAGTTTGCTGTACAAGTACGCAGTACAGATTCGTGTATGCATCACCCAGTAAAAACTCGATATACATATATACGGAAAGAAAAACAGCATTCGGCAGTATCGTGTTACAGAAATCGATAACGCAACAATTTTCTTCGTTAAATCTTGATCAGTCCTCGCGCATCAATCCTTCTCACTAATCCCGTCTCAGTTTTCTGCAAAGAAACACAATTTCACGTCATGCGCGATATTTCGTTGTTCATACTCGATTAGTTTAATTAAAGGGGATTCTACTGGATATGTTCTGTAATTGTAAGCAGAATTTTTTTACTCACTTATTCAATTTAGGTTCTGTTAAATTCATCGGCGCCTTTCTTCGCCGAGGGCGATTGAAAGAGTAGGTATTACTTTCAGAGTCTCGTAGGTTTTCTTCTTCGTCGGGTGTGCCTCTCCTGCAAAAGCACGATACAACAGTATATTTACGACTTGCGAGAGAGAGAGAGAGAGAGAGAGAGAGATTACAAGGTCTTATAATAGTTTGTGATATTTTGTATATTGGCGATCGTGGCACAGAGCGATGTGCGTCGCTCTAATGAGCCAAAGACCCGAGTTCAAATCCGACCAGAAATCGTCGGTTTTTTATACGAACGAATTGAGGTCGATAAACTGGCACTGGTAAAAAAAAACTACTCAAAAGCCTAGGCGAGCAAACGTCGTAGGACGTTCTAAGGCGACTTTAATATATATACATATATATATATAATGTGTAATTACACATACGTGACGTTATTAGCATCGTTAGCCGATGAAATCTTTGATTTAACACGAGACTCCTTAAGCTTCTCCAAAACGACTTTCGCTGCGCTTGGATCTCGATTGTTCTCCGATTTGTTTTTCGGTTTCTCTAAATTTGAACCCGTTGAGGAAGCTCCACTATGTTTCGTTCGGTCTTTCGTATTCGGCGTCCTCGACTTTTTACTATTTTTACTGGAATGCTTAGTCTTTTGCGGCGACAACATTCTCCTGTGATCGTCAATTACAATCAATGGCAGTTTTATCATGATATGATCGTAATCGTTCAAACTCCGTTTCGCCACCGGGATATCCGTAACTCTTGGTATCGTGGCGGTTACTTCGGTGTTGACCTTGTTATTGACGGTGGAATTATTTATCGTGGATTCCTCCAAAACAGGCAATCGCAGCTCATTGATATTGAACTGCATATTTTGTGAGGGTTGACGTAACATTAACGTAAAGTCGTCCTCCGTCTCTTCCGGCGCTTCGGAATTCCCTCGTCTCAGCGTCACGAAGCTCGCGAATTTCACTGTATTATCCGCGCTACTACCTTGTACATTATCTAAACTTCTTTCATGGCTGGACACACTCGTCGTTGGAGACATCTCGCAAATACCGTCCGCACTCTGTTCCTGCGGATGAGATTCAAACTCGGAAAGATTGGCGATGGGCGCTGAGTCTTCCTCTGCAGTTTGCACGTCGCTAGATTCGTTCAAGTTTGATGCCTCTTCCGTATTATTTTCCGTAGCGTTCGCATCGTCATACGCGATTGTTTGTGATGTATTATTATTAACGTCGGAAACGTCGTGAACAGGTTCGAGTTCCTCTGGCTCGTTATCCCGCGACGGCACGACATTGTTGAACAGCCAACTCGGACCTTCCAGAGGATCCTCTTCCTCCAAATTTCTGCTAATATTCTGCGGCAGTCTAAAGCTTTCTGTTACACTTGAATTTCTACTTGTATTTTTGTCAGAGGCCTTACTGCTCATTTGAACATCATAGTTTCTTTTCGATATGTTTGCGTGCGTTTCGTTTCCCTCGTTCGAGTTAATAAACATCTGCGATTCTGATGTCGCGTTTATTCTGTCTGATACATCGTGAGGTGCGACGTCATTGATCTCCTGATTTTCAATGCTAATCCTGGTACCAATTACCTACGGAGACATGTTCAACAGTTCAAATCTATGAAAGATAAGGTATATTTAGCATATATTTTATATCACATGGATGCAACTCTCCAAACATGAAACAATTTAAGAGTACTGCAATAATTTAATATTATTTTACTGTATTAAAAATGAAGGATTACGCCTACATTAATATGTCCCGTACTCGTTGAAGCGTCATCTATTTCGGACCATCTGTTTCGCGATCGCGAGAAAGATACCGACAATCTTTTTGAATGGATATTTCTCCTCCTTCTTAATCTCTGCTCATCTGCAAATAAATATCTAAATGTTAAGGATTGTATCAATTAATCGAGCAAATCCATCAATACTGCAGCGAGTACTCAAGTAATTAAATTACTATTCGTAATATATCATACCATTAACTCTAGGTGAAGAAATTGTCAGTCTTTCTGGTAGTCTGCACGTACGACCATTTTCCTAAAACAATTGTGCGTTGTTTAGAAACAAGTGTATACGTACATAACTTACAAGTTTCTTAAGGCCTATGCCCACGATGCTAGAACTTGGTCCAAGCTTTTATGAAATAGCTGCAAATTGAAGTGGCTACACATTTCTCGGAACTAGAACTTGGACAAAATCCTAGCATCATGGACACAGGCCTTTACAGACATGTATGAGACATGGCACAAAATAAATATACACGTACATATCTAAGAGGTGTGGTGGGTAAGGGACTAATTGGCGATCTACTCTCGTCAATTTCCTGGCTTCTACGAGGCGTAGCTATTTCTTCTATGTCACTCAGTCTCGATATATTGTTAATACTTTCCATATTAACCCGACTTAAATTAATCGTGGGCTTAGTGATGGTATATCCACCCACCATAGGCTTCACCACACCTTTGGCTGGCGATTTTGTTGACAGTCTACTTGACGATTCTTTCCCTGAAACATATTCCGACGTAAAGACTAAACGTTGGAAATAATAAAGCAGATAATGCATGAATCAAGAATTAAAATGGAAAACAATATTAATATAGTCCTAACACAATTTGATGTTGGTCATTGGGAAAGGGGAGGGCAATATGAGCCGTCACCTGGTTTTAGGTGATAAAATTATATATCCGTAGTGTTTGAATACAATTTAAGATATATTATAAACTTTGATAACAATGGTTCGGAACCGTTGTTATCAAACCATTGTTACCGAACCATTGTTATCAAAGTTTATAATATATCTTAAATTGTATTCAAACACTACGGATATATAATTTTATCACCTAAAACCAGGTGACGGCTCATATTGCCCTCCCCTTTCCCAATGACCAACATCAAATTGTGTTAGGACTATATTAATATTGTTTTTCTCACTGAGCCTTTATGATACTTTTTAAAATGGAAAACTCTTGGAGTTTATCGATATATTCCTTACTTCCAGCTGATACCGACGACACTCTCACTGTAGCATTGGGAGCGACAAGCTCTTGACACATAGAGATGGTGTTTGTCATATAACCGGACATTGTGACTAGCATTTTTAGTATTTCCTTCGAATTATTCAGGACATTAGAAATTACAGTCTGAAACAGAATTAATAGAAATAAGAAAACTAAGTGTGTAGATTTAAAAAATACATACATATTGTATGTCCAGTACGGTGTGTTAATTCGGCTCGGGTGATAATTAGAAATGGACAAAAATTACTTGATTATTTAAACGTAGATGCTTTTTGACAATGCGACCCAAAGCGAATTAATGCATCGCAATGTATATGTATATACATATAAGGAATTATAAAAAATAATTTCGTTAAATTTAAAGTTCTTCGTATTTGACTGAAGATAATTATATTCTGTGAAATCATCTCTCATAATTCCAAATCAACATAAACGGCGTCGTACAAACATTACTCACATTTCGCGTGTTGCATATCACATGTAACTGCTGAACTTCTCCAATTAACTCTACATTCTGCGAGAACAGTGACTGATTATTCTGTTTTTCCTTCGAAAGCGCCTTGGCCAAGTAACTGTTGTTGTTCTTCAATTTTTCATACACTAAGAAAACGTATCTTTATTAATAAACTGGCAAGTCGGGGAGGCGAAGCAGAATGACTTCAATTTCCTCACGTGGTCTGTAGGATCGTTCCTGGTAATGTTTTCCCAAACACTGCGTTCTCTTATGCGTCAACACACTAACCCTCTTAGCTTTTCGAATCGGCATTTTTGGCATTGTGGCACGTATTTACAATTACCTGCTTCAGCGCGACGAATTTATGTATAGGCGACAGGACACTGCACAGAGATTAGAATCAATCTTACGGATTTATCCCGGAAATTTTGCTATATTTGTAAAAATTCCATGTCTTATTCCTCAACATCTTTCCCGATTCCGCGGAATAATCGCCCTGCGACGAAGTTTTTTTTATCAATTCGCACCTCAAACTCGGCGTTTGGTGAGGATGCAGTCGAGGGGGAAAAAAAAAACGTACCTCGACCGGTAGAATCCGATTTCTCTTGTGCAAACCTTGGCAAAGATTCTCCTTCCTCACGCGATCGGACGAACGCACGTTACGCTTTCAGTCGCGACGAACGTTACGATAATTCGGTATCAAAATGATGGCCAGGTGTGAGGTGATGCCCGCACAATTTGATGCAAAACTTGCGTCTTCCACTCAGGGCTGCAGCACTGTACACAGAAAAACCAGAGCGATTTTAGGGCTGTGCCGCACGGAAAAACGTGAACGGCGAGTCGCGCGAATCCACCAATCACAATAGAGCGTTCTTGAGAACACAAAAGGCTTGTTTTCTGTTCCTACACTAGTGAACTAGTGCAATAAATTGGAGTAAGGGCAACTTTCACCAAGCTCCGGTTAACCCAACCGGTCTAGTAACATGCAGGATTGCAACCGAATCTGATATATTTTCTCAGATTCTCATCAGATTTCTCATCGGATTCGGTTGCAATCCTGCATGTTACTAGACCGGTTGGGTTAACCGGAGATTGGTGAAAGTGGCCCTAAGCCAAGCATATTTTTTCTCATTCTAGCTTACTGCACTAATTCACCAGTGCAGGAACAGAAAACAAACCCAAAGTCTGTGTTTATAGTTCGTATTGTATTGCAACAGGTTTTTCAATGAAAACCATTTTTCGAGTTGCCAGAAACTTCATTCCGTCAATATGTTTGAAAAATCTGCCGCGTAAAAAATAAAATAGTATTTTGAGGTTATTGTGACTAAGGCCGTATTCATAGTCGAGTCTTATTTCAAAATCATCTTATGGCCGATTTTTTTACTTCCCGATAAAATTATCCGGAGGTTAATCTCAAGTTTTAGCCAATCACATATATGGATCTGGTAGTTTATCTCCTGTTTAACTTTAACCGCAATATAACTGGATTAGAGTCCCTGTAGTAAGGCCGGTATTCATAGTCCGTTCTTATATTTAAGATCATCTTAAGTATGCTCTTAATGTGTTTTCAACCAATCACAGAGCTGTATTAGCGACTTAAGACAATACTTAAGATGCTTTTGAAATAAGAATCGACTATGAATACCGGCCTAAGAGTCTGGCAAGAAATATTCTCCGTTTGATTGGTTTGACGCAAAATGGCGGAACCAATAAGGTGTCTCGAATCTGTACTCTGAACTGGATTAGATTGAAATTTGACCAATTGGAGTAAAAGTTACTTGGGATCAGTAAACTTTACTGCGATTGGTCAGATTTCAATCTAATCCCAATCTCAATCCGTAGTCTGATACGGGCTTAAGGCCTGTGTCCACGATGCTAGAACTTGGTCCAAGTTCTAG